AAGGTACAACACAATAAAAACTTTATCTTCCACTATTCAAAAAGCCTCCTCCATCAGAACTGGAGCCACTTCCAGTGGTTTCATTGTATGGCAGTTACGCCAACGGAGATCAGAGCGCTTCCATTGCAGCAATGGACGCAAAACGTGGTCAGCACTCACGCACTCATCACGAAACGGTTGCTTTCCAAAGTCGACGACGCATCGACCGAAAGAACTGCTGATGAAGAACAATGAAGAGAACCACACTATGGTTGCTGCCGAGAAAACAGACGATCGCGTGGCACACATCGAGAGAGGCCTGTTTTGTCGACAGCCGAGTGAACACAGCAGATAGCAAACAAACACGTCATATCTCGAGCAAAGTGCGAGATCAAATTGAAATCTAAATTTGATGTTGTGATTTCGCTGATAATAATTACTCAGGTTGCTGTCGTTTTGGTCGTTTTAACGGTTAAAATATCAAAATTGAGAACAAAAATTAAAGGGTTGTGTCCTAGACACTACTGCAGTATGACGTAGAACTACGGGAAATTGATGTATGTCATACATGTTTGACTTGTACTTTATCTTAAATTTTTCAAGTATTTCAATGTTTCGGTTATGGTTCAAAACTTGCGACAATTCATGTTAGCCTAATCGGGCTACCGGTCATCTTACGCATGAGTTAATGTGTTTAAATTTAATGTAATGGTTAAGAATTGCCATAGTTTTCCCTACATAATTGCATTGGGTTGATCAATGTTGAGCTATTTTGCTGTTATCAATGTGCACTAAATTCGACATTAACATCGACTGCAAAAGGAACTTACACTATTTCTCCACACATTTTTTTGTTGATTTGCACCTCACAAAAACGACATGCATGTTGTGGGATGAAACAATTCCCAAAAAAGTACGTTAATTTTAGCATAAATAACTTTTCCGCGTTTCTTATTAGGGGCTACTCATTAACTACGTCGACAGTTTTTTGGGATTCTAGCCCCTCTCTCTCTCTCGGGGGGAAGGGGGCATAGACAACTATCGATATTTTTTTTAATTTGTATGGGCCGTGGATGATTGCCAATTAATCATTTTGTTCTACCATTTTCCACAGAGACGGCGTTGTTCCGCTGGTAGGAAGTGATAAAAATCCCCATATAGAAATTGAGAGAAGTGGGAATAATTCGCTTTAGGTGCATATTCAGGTCAAAAAAAGTGAACGACAACCTAAAGAAATTAGTCAGGGGCTTTGTCGTTCGGTTTTTTCATGGAAATTAATGCTAAACAAGCTACAATTAAATAAAAATGATTTTTCCCCATACAATTTTACCTGGTTTACTACCAGTCCCCAGAGAGCCAAAAAATTCAAATTTGAGAGAGAAATTCTCTCTCACGAGCTCAATCTCTCAACATGCCATGTATTTTGTTGACACTCGATTTGTGATTTCCCTTTCACAGATTACAAAATAGAGCACCTGACACTACAAAACATGTCTGGTACCTCTATATATGCATTTGCTTTAACATTTGAAGTCCCTCCTTTTTTACATATTCTGCGCAAAAGATACTTTATGGGGCATACATAAAATTCGGTGGGAAATTCTGTGAGGGGTAAGCTATTTTGTGTGCAGAATGTGTAAAAAGGGAGGGACTTTGGATGTTAATCTAAATGCATATAGAGGTACCAGACATGTTTTGCACTGCAGTGTCCTCTGTGAACAATTATAGGAAAACAGATTGTGTGTAGTTTCCGATAGATGTTCCCGCAAACAGCAGCAGTGACATCTGATGGAACATGAATGCAGAAGCTTGACAAAATGATTAATTGATTTCTTTAGGACCTTCTGGTCTTAGAGTTACCTTTATGGTTGTACCGCTGCCACTTTGCCGCATTCCTACCCACAATGCATGCGCACAAAATCTATTTATTTTTCCTCTTCCGCTGCATTTTTTACGTAAACAAACCACGGAAACGTGATAATTGTGATTGCAGTTTTGAGCTTAGGCAACTAATTTCGGATTGAGAAAAACACGTAAAACACCATAATACAGCGCATAATCAGACCGCTTGTATTAATAGCTTTTTCGTCATATCAATCATGGAGCTGTGTGATATCTTTGAAAAGTACACGTTTATCGGAAATTGTATACATTATTTCGTTTCTTTCACTTTCAATCAATTGAAGATCTTTAAACTAGCTAATCGTCATGAAGTCATACGGTTATCTCTGATTCAGCTGACAAAATGAAGAAATATGTGAGAGATTATCTGATTGAATAGTTTACCAGTAGAAGGTCTTCTGAATAATTGATCAATCTTGTAAAAATATCCAAGGGGCTTTGAAATTCTCCAAAGCTCAGTGATCGTCTCAGAATTTGCATTAACTTCAAAAAATTTAAGGGAAATATCGAGATTTTCCTGATAAAATTTTTATGGTTATTTTGCTTACCAACGTGTTCCGGGCATCATGCAGACCATTTGTGGAATAGTTCTATCATTTGGGGTTTTATTCCTCAATGGTGTTTTTCATTAGGGCTTCGCAGAAGAATTATGAATATTAGGAAAACTGCGAGAGCTTAAGGAATGTTCCATGAATTTTAGGGAAGTCCAGAGAACTCTAATATATTGAGAAGATTAAAAAACTTTGTGACTAACGATATCTTCGAATATCGGGAAAGTTCAAAGTTCTTCAAGAGAATATTCAGACAACTTCGTACATTTTAGAAAAAATGTTGAAAACTTCATCGAAGATCTAGAGTAGTTTTGGGAGAACTTCAGAGTAGTTTTAGGAGAACTTCTGAGTAGTTCTGACGAGAACTTAGTTCTGAGGAGATCTTCAGAATAGTTCAAAAGAGCATTTCAGAGTAATTATGAGGAGAAGTTCAAAGTAATTCTGAAGAGAGCTTCAGAGTAGTTCTGAGGAGAAAATGAAAGTAGTTCTGAGGAGAACTTCAGAGTAGTTCTGTGGAAAGTTTCAGAGTAGTTCTGATGAGACCTTCAGAGTAGGTTTGAAGAGAATTTCAGGAAATTTCTGAAAACTCCAGAGAAGCTTCATTGACTTCAGGAAAATTTCGGGAAATTTATGAAACTCCCCGAAAGCACCCGGAACATGTCAGAATGGTCCTCAGTATTTAATATGGCCACAAATGTTCTTATTTTTGAATTCTCATGTAGTTTGATGTGTCACATGAGGATTTGGGTCCAAGTTTCACTTCTCCGGGGGTGTCCGGAACCTGTCCGGATCTGGCCAACGTGGTCTTCAGTACTTAATGTGAACAAAAATGGACATGTTTTTGAATTCTGATGTAGTTTGATGCGTCGCATGAGGGTGTTACAAGAAGAAACTGATCACTTCCTCGGGGGTACCCCGAACATGTCCGGATGCGGCCTTGGATAGATATTTGGTTCACGTCTTGAAGTGTCTCGTTAATTCAAAATTTAAAAAAAAATACATCTGAAAACATTGAGCACTTCTTAGGTTGCCGCTCAACCGCGTGTTTTTCCAAAATGTTGAAAAAAAAAACGAGTTTTAGTGCAATGCCACTTTTGCCGCAACGCGCTCATTGTGGGTTGTCAAACGGATTGTAAGCAGTGGCACGACAACAGCGCTGTTTTATATCTTTACAGGTTCAAGCAGAACTATGTGCAACCAAGTGGTACTAGTCTATGACGACTGGGTTTGGGAAAAACGTTTATTTCATTAAAACAGTGATAAAATTATCATTTGTACATTTTTCAAAAGTTTTTTTTATAGAAAATTTGAAAAGTATTTTATTTAACAGATTCGTAATGTAATATCCTATCGATTGGCGCATTTGGATTTTAATTTCATCTATAAATGACAAAATTACCTACCACTATTTCACCACACATATTTCTCGATTTGCACCCCAGTATAGTCCACAAAGACGTAGTTCTACGTCAAAAAATCTTCCTGAGACAAACAATTTCTGCTATCAGTGAGAGAAAACTTAAAACTCAATTTAATATCAATTTTTCCTGTTGATAACAAAACAAGTATTCAATTTGATGTTATGCTAAGGCAATGAAAACAAACCCGGAACAACATATTTTTGAAGAGCAAATGTACAGCAAAATGATAACAAAATTTGGTATCAAACTTGTCAATTGCGTAAACTGAAATCAAATTATGATTTCACTTTGATGTTGATATTAAAACTAGATTGCAATTTGCTGTCATTTTGGTGCTGGACTTTGCTCGAGATGTGTGCGTGACGCTGAGAAATTGCTAATAGTAGTGCGGACGCTTCTTAGATTGACGATAATACGTAAATGGCTCTATGACCCTAAACGGATAATATTATTGGAATAAGCTCGAAAAGTTGTATTGTTTTAGAAAAGTTGTTAAAAATGTATCGTGTAAATTTCAACTTAGTGGCGCAAACAGCGTAAAAACCGGCGCAACAGTAAAAAAAAATTGACAAACTTGTCCCCCTGAAATCATCATCTTTGAGAAACGAAATGTTCACCTTCACTTAAGATGAATTAATTAATAGACCTTTAAATTTCACTCTTCTCTAGCTCTCATCGTGTATTCAACTAATAGCAAATTCGTTTATTATCGGGGTTGGAACCAGTTTTAAAGCGAACTTGTTGTCAGTGCGAACCTCAACCTGCGGTAGGCTTTAAAAACAAACTATCAAACTGACGTTTGTCAGAAAACTAGCAGACCCAAGCTTGATACCCCATTCAGGTTGGAACAGAATAAGAAACGAATTCGCTAGAAGAATCCCATTCTCAAAATTTGTGTAGATTTGTAAGGTAGGGGAAATGGATGTAATGTCAGCCTAAATGCCCCTAATTTGGGCCCATACATAAATTCAGCAATCGACTAAATTTTCAATAGCTACCAAAAATATCCATCACTATCTCAAAGATCACTTTAACACTAATTAAAATGTCTAGGACGCACTCGGTTAAATTTCTCAATACCTTAAATAGTCATACAATGGAGCTCCACCGTCCACTAAAATCGCATCGCTTTGATCCGCACTTCCAGAGCTCTTCTACGTGATAGACGAACGCACTCGTCGCTATCCGGAAATCCACCGCATCTGGACCGGATTGCGGCCGGAGGTTCGAATTAGCAAGCCGGAGTACGTTGAAACGATAATTGGCGCCAGCAAGCACATGGAGAAGTCCCACGGGTATGAATTTCTGTACGAGTGGCTCGGCGAGGGACTGCTCACGTCCAAAGGTAAGCGCATTTCAGTATTTTTGACTTCCAGTTAATTTCGTCTCAACCGGCATCATTTATTCAAAACAACATACCTAGCAGCCATAAGTGCCTTCAACCCTAATCACCACATTTGCCACCCCATCAACAGGTGACCGCTGGTTCCAGCATCGCAAGCTTATAACACCGACGTTCCATTTCAATATTCTGGACGGGTTTTGCGATGTGTTTGCCGAGCAAGGAGCCATTCTGACGGAACATTTAGATTCGTACGCCAACACCGGCAAACCGGTGGATATCTGCCCGTTCATAACCAAAGCTGCACTGGACATCATCTGCGGTAAGTGAGAGCAGAACATGGCTGTTGTTGATACATAGAAGACGCTTGTTGCCGCTGATAAATGAGAGCTAATGCTAAGGTAACAGCAACATCGCATTTGGAACGTTTGTTAGCTGTCCGAAAGTCAATAACGTGAAAATGTTTGAACACCAGTTCGTCTGGAACGAACATGAGCTTCGGTGCAATTTTTCGATCCATTGGAGCTAGAGCTTGTTATAGCAGCAAACTATATTCTAACGATTTTCCCTTCTCTTTTGATAGAAACTGCCATGGGGGTCAAAGTTAATGCTCAAGCAGGTGGGGATAACCAGTATGTACAGGCCATCTATGCGTAAGTAATGGGTTACAGACTTGGTTGCGAATTTTGTAATCTTTTAACTGTATCACATCTTTCAGATTGAGCACGCTATTTGTGGATCGTTCAATAAGACCATGGCTGCATCCCAACTTTATTTACAATCGCACCGAGGATGGACGCCAGCACAAGAAAGCTCTGGGAATTGTCCATGGATATACAAAGAAGGTAAACGCTTGCTAGACACGATTCGAAGCCTCAAAGAATACAAAACCAAAAAGGGGAAAAACATCACTTTGCACACATGACTGGAAACCTGTGCACCAGTCATCCGTGAATCCGGTCACCTCACCCATGACCGTGCCGTGAGTCGCCGATGCAACTAAAAAGAGTCGACACGAGAACGCTAGTTTAGCAAATCGATTTTACATCGTTCGTAAAGCACGAAATCCTGCTAACCTTCCTGCAAATCGAAATCAATTGAACCGTGTCATTACTTCTACCCAAGCTCCCCCGTTCCCGATATCCGTGCCCTGAGAGCCAAAGCCTCTGGCACAACGAAATGTATCCCGTTCACTTTATCCTTCGTTCTCTCAACTTTGATTTCTCTTTCCGCACCACCGGTGGAATATCCAGGTCATCCGCGATCGAAAGGAAGCACTGCAAAAGGGAAACCAAGGCAACGGTGGGAGCTCGTCCACGGTGGTGACAGGCGAAACCGGAGACGATTTTTACTTCGGTACGAAAAAGCGGCTGGCATTCCTGGACCTGCTGCTGGGGGGAAATGAAAAACATAATCAACTTACGGATGACGACGTGCGCGAAGAGGTCGACACGTTCATGTTTGAGGTAAGTGCACTACCGGTTGCCCTAAATATTAAATATGTATGATTTGGAACCGTCCACTAATTGTTCTGGGGTGACTATCACATTGTTGTAACTTATTATGTCTCAACTGGAGCTATGTGCCTGCACTAGTTTTAGTTTTCTTTTATCACTTCCACATTTCTGAGTGTTTAATTTTTTTCCCTATACTATGCCCAAGGAAGTCGAATTAATTTATCCGACTGAATGGGGAACCCTCCGCCTTCAGCATGGCACTGCATGATAAGCAAATGTACTTGGTGTGCTACTTATAATCGCATATCAGTACCATATGGATTTTCGTCAATTTTAAGATAATAACGTTATCCACTATCAATAGGCCTCTACTTTCATATTACGTGATAAAACTAGGGACTTTAATCATGGAAAATGTGAGAACAACATCATTGGTCTGTTTGTCCCATCAAGCAAAGTAACCGCATATCAGTCCCATCCTGAAATTAAATCGTCCAGAGGTCAAGTTGCAGTTCTCGATTAACATTTCTAAAGGTCCTATTTGCTTTAATCGATTATCTTCATAGACTTTTTTATTTGATAACCACACCTACGCCATAGGTTGATAGCTGAAGATACTTTGGGGCTGTTCATAAACTACGTAGACAGTTTAGGGGGGGGGGGGGGTTGGCAATTATCCACGGCCCATACAAAATTTAAAGTTTTTGTATGGACAATTGTCTACGCAGGGGGAGGGGGGTGAAGAATCCCAAAAAAACTGTCTACGTAGTTAATGAACAGCCCCTTTCTTGTGCTTGAAACGTTGAACACAGCAGGGAATGCTTTTGAAGTTGAGTTATTAACGGAAGAGAAAGTCTATGAAGATAATCGATCAATGCAGATAGGACCTTTTGAAATGATGGCCACATTTGTCGCTGATATAACAAATCATGCGTTGCAACTGATTTAAACTTGACATAATTGAACTTTCTAACTTAAACTGTAATTCTCAATGCCTCATTTTCCCATATGGGACTGATATTGGATTATGGACAGTATAGGAAAGCAGTGTCCGAAAAGGGAAAGTAATTTTCTCAACTGATGGTACCGTGTGGTGCTCCATCCATCGCTCACTTTAGAGTAAAATCAAATTCACATCTTCAGTAAAATTGTACATTGAGTATATAGTTGCACTAGCTTGCAGCTCATTATCATTAGATTGTGGAAAAAATATAAAACATCCAAAACAATGCTGTTAAAATATACTTCGAGACAAATTAGTACATGTAACCAGGGGTCCCATTCACCGCTCATGTCGTAATGGAAATAATAACTCTTTGAATTGTCTATCTTTTCGGGCCATTCAACGCATAACATGGTTTTTAGGTTATTAAGGTATTAGATATTGATTAAACACTCGCCTTTGTTATGAAATATTGGTATTAATGCATATTTTAATTTTTTTTTTTTTTTTTAGTTAGCTTTGAAGGGAACCCTTGATCGTTGTGGGGTCACCATTCACCGCTCATATGGATGTTAACAAAAGTAATTTTTTCGGCTATAATCAGGGAAATAAAAGTGCCGATGGTTATATATGATCAGCTTGGAATCACATACGAGTGAATAAGTCGGGTAAACGCATGTTTAGATCTAATTTTGGGAACTTTAAAAAAAAATGTTGATCAAATGATCGGTGAATAGAGGTCAAATAGTGAACGGGTACGACATGGTACCTCAGAACTGAGATAAGTATTGTAACCAGAACCATCATCTTGAAATATTAAGTAGCAATCCCAAGTAACAAATCTAGAGCTGCTTGGCTATATTCAAAATTTATAAAGGTTTTATTGCAGCTGCAACCACTACCTACAGCTTTATCACGGTCATATACAATGCAAGTCATGAAACATTCTTATAGCTATCTACAAAACCCCTATAAAACTAATTAAAAAACCAACTGATGCTTATGCTATTTTCACTTATGAAAGGTTTTATGATTGCTTTGAAGTATACAAAAAAGTAATATGAATTGCCCTTATAAAACCAAAAAATAAAACCTTTCGTTGCTTTATAAGTAAGCGCAATAAAACTAGTTGGCCATGAAACAGTTATTTTAAAACAATTATAAGCATTCAGTTGCGACTTGTCAGAAATGTAAATAGGTGGTTTATTTTTACAACATAGAAAAGAATCAAAACTTTCCGGTACTTCCGGAAGCGGAGCGCAAAGAAAATCAACAAAATTGTTAGCATGAGCATGAAAACATTTCGTGTATACGTATACGCGACGTAGTGTGCGTAAGCAAAACGTCAGCAATCTCCATGATTCTTCCGTTCTCGCTTGCATATACGTGGGGTGACACGGACGAATCTTGGTCGAAATGGTGACAGTCCTAGGGCAAAAAGGTTGAAATCATGCATAACTTTTCATAAAGGTTAATGTACCATTCAAAACTTTTCTAAATGTTTGTAAAATTCATCGGTTGCACCCGTAGAATAGGAATATACATTTGCCCTCAAATGAAAAAAATGAATTCAAGCTGAACATTGCATTAGGTTGTGAAGAAACATACTGGATTAAGCTTCAAATTTCAAAAATATTGTTGAAAAAACGAGAAAAAAAAAACACATTTTTTGAACATTAATATCTTCTAAAGCGCAGAAAATCGCAACCTGACATTTTCTGCAAAAAATAAACAATACTCGATAAACAAAATATCAAAATTTGAGAGAGGTATATTTTGGTGTTTTGTAGATTTCTTCATTTGAATGGAACATTATTTTTTTCTATAACTTTTTTTAAGCATTGAAATGGCGTTTTGAAGACTTGACGACTTTGGCAAAATTGTTTATCTTGGTAAAATAAACAACTCTTCTTAAGACGTTAAAACTTCACAGCCTACTGTTTTCGAGGTATATTCATTTAAACAATATATTTAAAATTAAAACACTTATATTCACATTTTTTCTGTAATTTCACATAACTCGAAGTAGGCTGTGAAGTTTTAACTTATTTAGAAAAGTTTTTTTTTTTTATCAAGAAAACCAACTTTGACAAAGTCGTGAAGTCTTCGAAACACAAATTCAATGCATTAAAAAAACCTATTTCTTAAGCTCTCAATTTTTTTATTTTGTTTATCGAGTATTGCTTAATTTTTGCTGAAAATGTCAGGTTGCGATTTTTTGCGCTTTGAGAGATATTAATGTTCAAAAATTGTGTTTTTTTTTTTCTCGTTTTTTCAACAATATCTTTGACATTTGAAGGTTAATCCAGTATGTTTCTTCACAAAAGCTATCTATTTAAAGTATTTGCATAAGAGAAAAATAAAACATTATAAAGCTGTAAGCAAAAAAACCGAAACAGAAAATAAACCATATTTTCAACATTTTTTTCTTTAACTCCATATAACTTGGAACCAGTAGACAGTGGAAATTTAACGTCTTTGAAAGAGCTGTTCATTTTGTCAAGATAAACAACTTTGCCCAAGACATCAAGTCTCCAAAACGTCAGAGAAAGAAGTTAGATTGTGGCACCATCTTTGCGGAAGAGTTTTGAACTATTTGTTTATGTCAATAGATGGTCCTTATTATGACGAGAAATTTTGCCGAAGACACCAAGTCGCGGAAATGCTTCGTTTCGGAGTTATTAATTTTGATCCGCTAGGTTGCATTCCTGACCCAGTGTGCAATGTAAGCATTAGACATTTTAAGAAATTGCGCTTGGTGTTTTTCTTGCCTGCTGTCCTCTGTCGCCATATTGTCATTATGAAAATGCCATTAGCCTTGGAATAAAATCCAAGAAATTTCAATAAAATAATGGCTAAATAAGAGATCCGAAATGATTTCCAGTGTATGAATTTATGTATTGAGATCTATTTTCTGTAAAATTAAGGTGATTCCATCAAATTCATTTGATTTCTGAAACAATCTTTTTTGTCAACTTGAATTATTTTGGAGGCGCATTTATTTAACGCTCATATTATCTCAATAAACACGATAACATTTCAAACATTTCAAGCGCATATGTTTTGGAACTTCTAAAAAGTAATATATTTTCTTTAAAATTTTCACTAATGTCGCCATGGAACAAAAATTTGATAGCATGGTGATCTTGACACCAGCACTCAAACCTATTTTTACCGCTAAAGATTTCCATTTGGAAAAAAAAAGTTTCAGCAGAACAGAACAACAACAAGATAATTTATGGCGGTTGCTTTGAAGCCAATAAAAATTAAATTGGCTTTATAACTGATTTTCACCAAAGGCGTAATAAAACTGCTTGGATACAATATTACTCTTATAGAGGCTATGAGAACCTTTTGTAGAGTATGAGGCTTCCTGACAAAAGGTTTTAAGACAGCTTTATTGTGATTATCAAACATGCTTTATAAACCTTATCAAGAGTGGTCCACTAAGCTGTATAACGATCTTAAATATAGCGGTTATCAAAAGGTTGGGCTGGAGCTATTAATTTTATTGGCGGTTTTATGAAATTGATCTCAATAACCACTAATAGAGTGCAATAAAACAAGAAATGCTACTTGGGTGACCCGCAGCGACTCACGAAGAGCTACTGATTCCGATCCATAGCATAGCAGTGCAGCTTCTCCCTCCTTTGATGGTTGCTTATGTGGGATCTGCAGCTCGCTGCTTGCAGGCAGCCTTTCGTTGTTACTGGAGAACAAATTTCAACGCCACACGTCGAAAGCACTGCTACTGCTGCTACTGCTGCTACTAATTTCGACGATCGAACACCACCACACAGTGGTGTGGTCGTTGGGAGCGTGTGGTTCTGAGTATGGCGATGAGTGTGCAAAATATTACGCAATTCCATCCTCCCTATTCGCACGCGCCCGAAGATCGGAGGCGAATGCCACTTCGACTTGTTTCGTCTACTTACTACTCTCTGACGACTGTCAGTGTAGGTAAGTGGTGGATTTGTTAGTTAATTCGACGCTGTTGGACAACGCTGGACATTTACCAGTTTTTCAATAGTTTCTTGTTGAAAATCAACATTGGAAGCATTGTTATCGATGCGTAGCCATATTTCTGATCGATTGGTGATAAAATTATTGAAATTGGAAAAGGGGCAGCTGAGTTATTAACGTTCAAAATCTTTCTTAATTTGTTACATGTTCCATTTTTGGTTTTCACAAAGTGTACCCCCATATAGAAATCAAAGACGTAGTCCTACGTCAATACATTTATAAGATATTACAGCTTATGATTATTTGAAAGCATTTCTTAAATAAATAAAAAATCCGAAATAGACACAATGGGCATTGTAAAATTGACCAACATTGTAGAACATCACCTTTAAGTGAAATTTTTAACCTTAGCATCATAGAAATACTGTGTGCATTGGAAATGAATGTGTAGAGCAAATAAATGTTTTTTGAGAAAAATTAATTTATTTTTTTTTTAATTTATGTTCTACGTTTAATTGTTTTATTTGTCTAAAACATATATTTTTTAATCCTTAAAATACCAGTTTCCTACGAGATTGTAGGACTTCATTTCAAATATATGAGTAGTTTCGTTCAATGATTTGTTGAAAATATCGAATACACCATTTTGGAAAATTAAGCACTTGGTTGATTGACTACATATTTAAATACATATTTCGACTGAAATGTTCAGTCTTCATCAGTGTCATTCCCATTAAATACTTATCAAAATCTAACCCCCTAAGTACTCATCTCCTAGGTTAAAATGTTAAGATCACAGTTGAATTCTTGTTTAACATAATTGTCTCATTTTTTTACACTGCCATAAAATGGTGAAAACAGGTGTAAAAATGTTGATAAGTTTGAAACAATTCAAGGATGCCAGCATATTGTAAACAAAATTGCTAAACTATATATCAATTGCCAATATGAGCAAATAGAGCTGATCAATAGTATGATGCAAAATTTTAAATTTTCGCTCCACAGTGCTCAAACGGTTTCAAATTTAGATCTAATAAACCTCCCAAAATTTGAACTCATTTAGTAAGAAACTGGCTTGGTACAAACCATTTGATGTTTATATGTAAAATCTATGAAGCACAATTTTATGTATCTAACAATTCACCACATCGCTTTGCTTTAAAAATGGATAACTGTGCTTGTAGGAAAATTTCTCAGCTACAACTTTGTCGAAAATCACTTTGCGATAAAATGTAACAAACAAAAGTTGTTAATGATGCAATTCACATATGTCTTGTGATTATGCTCAACTATTTAGCAGGCAACACTAGTGTTTCTGGTGCGTAAAATAGAGTACAAAAATAATGGCTTCTATGTCACTCTGCAGAATACAGTGTTGTCCACAAAACAGCTCCTTAATCATGCGATAAGAATATCAATCTCTTAAACAATTAATAACTATTTCTATTGACCTTTGGCTGAAAAACGATCTTCTACAAAGTTGTAGCTAAGAAAATTTCCCATAATAATAGCTGTAGATTTTTTGCAATATGGAAAATGGCAAGAAGGCAATGATAAAAAAAATTGTTTTTCGATAGTAATTTCCATGTAAACTTCAAATTGTTTGTGCCAAGTCAGTTTCTTAACAAATGAGTTCACATTTTTGAACGCTAATCAAAAACCGATTTGAAACTGTTCGAGCCCTGTGAAGTGAATCAAAAAATTGTTCGCACGCATGAATGGACTGCTTAATTGAATCGTTTTTATTATTAATTTATTAAAGATATTTATAACCGCTAGCTACTTCATCACTGTTATTTTTTGAAACGATTTATATCCATTTTTCAAAAAAAAAAAAATAAGAGACAGCTGTACGCACGGGCCTATTAGGTATATTTACAATAAAATAGAAAAAGCATTTGCACTTAAATCCTGCATCAATTTTTGTCTTCAAACAGCATGGTGTGCACTAAGTGTAGCAGTCATATCCATTTAAAAACCAACCGATTCTGGTCTACAACAATCGGTATTGTGTTCACGACCGGAACAAAACACTTCATCAAAGAGCACTCCTCAGGGGGGATCTTCTAGAGCACAGCACGAATGTTCATCGAACTGAGATTTCTTCCAAATGGCAATTGTTTATCAAACCGGTTTACCCCGCTTTCCCAGCACCCACCGAATGAATGTGGTGATTCCAACCACCATCATCAACGTGTGTTTGTTGACTGTTGTCTTTTTATCGCACTGGACTTCTTCTCTTTTTCGCAAATCCCAGGGACACGATACTACGACTGCCGGCATGAGCTGGGCTCTGTTCCTTCTCGGGCTGCATCCGGACGTGCAGGATAGAGTGCATCAGGAAATTGATTCGATTTTCGCCGGCTCAGACCGGCCGGCCACGATGAAGGATCTCGGCGAGATGAAACTGCTGGAACGGTGCCTAAAGGAAACGCTACGACTCTACCCGTCCGTGTCATTCTTCGGACGCAAGCTAAGCGAGGACGTCACCCTGGGTGGGTACTTTATCCCAACCGGAACATTGATCGGTATCCATGCGTACCACGTGCATCGCGATGAAAGGTGAGAGCGTACAGATGTTCACAGCTTTTCAGACCCAAGAGGCGTTTATGGATGTTTCTTTGAAACGCATTTATTCGTTCACAGATTTTATCCCGATCCGGAGAAATACGACCCGGATCGTTTTCTACCGGAAAACACCGAACACCGGCATCCGTTTGCGTACATTCCGTTCAGTGCTGGGCCACGCAACTGTATCGGTCAAAAGTTTGCCATTCTGGAGGAAAAGAGCGTCGTATCGTCTGTTCTGCGGAAATTCCGAGTGCGTTCGGCAAACACACGGGAGGAGCAGAAAATTTGCCAAGAGCTCATCACTCGACCGAACGGTGGCATTAGGCTTTTCCTGGAGAAGAGAAACTGAAATTTGTCCCTATAGGGATGCTTGACGACTGTCGAATGATGTAGATTATATATAGGAATTACATTACTGATTTTATCATTTTCTTACTTAGTACAGATGAAGAAGCCCCTTTATCCCTACAAGCAATTAAGGATGAATCTGGTTGTCATATCAACAAACCATTACATTACCTCAGATGACCTACTTTCACAAAACTGCAACCATAGATCATTTTCCAACTAATTGAAATGTTCAGACAAGCAGAAATTGTGCTTGCAACTAGCTGGTAAACTTTCTAGTATTACAAGAAACTATATTACTCGGACATCGGATTTGTGTAACGAATCGAAAAACAAGATTGAATCCCCCCGAGATGACATCGTTATCTTTAACCCACTGCACGGTTGCGGACTATCAGAGGTAGGTACATGGCAATCGCAATGGAAACGGATCCACCCGCATTTCAACTCTGGACTCGGGACTCGGGTCTTCCCTGCCATTGCCGGTCGATGGCATTTTAGTTGCAATCCAGTTGAATGTAATAAATCTCGAATGTAAATTCCTTCTGTCAGTTCACGTTCGCACCCTTCTTGGCTTTTTCCCACAAATACACTGCATGGACACTGCAGGCAGTAGTGCTGGCTGGACTTACACTTTGAATTCAAAACTCGTAATTTTCACTTCCTTACACCCGCACATACGTACACACACACACACACATACGCCCTCCAGCATCAGCAGCAACAATGGATCGGAACATATTGGATCCCAGGGAAATGCACAATGCTCAACCGAGTGAGACGACACATTTCATGATGTTTGCATTCTGCCGTTCTCGCCCGGTTCCCGAGTGCTCTCTTTCTCACGCTTGTTTGGGTTACGGTCCAGTCGGGATGTGTGTAGGTTTCTATGACCAATGCAACCACGGGGTGTTGGTGCAGCAGTTGGAGCTATATCTGCAGGGGCTGGGAACACATACGACAGTTGAAAGAGACAATGGAGCGAAGAAATTGCTGTTACACCGAAATGAAGTGCGAGAAGAAGAAATTTATTTGATTCGAACTTTTACCTTTTACCCAGGACCTGACGGGGAGCGAGCGCTTCAACGGAACGGACGGTTGTCCCACCGACATCTCACGCACAGTGGTCTGACGATAGCGGTCGACAATTGAATTTGGTTCATTTTGCGATTCAAAATTGCTACAATTTATAGGTCTGTACTATAAAGACAATTTAATTATCTTTATTATTGAAGACTTTCAGCCCGGCTGGTTTGTCTCCTTAGAGTCTGGAGCCTTCGGAAAGTAGTCCCCTAGTAAAATAGTTTGGAATGAGGAGGGGCTCCAGAATGGATTCCCCCTGTTACAAAGTATCGGATGGAGCCCCAGAAGCACACAGCCAATGAGATCGATTTGAAATTCAGTGAATTTTCACTCCAAATAACAAAAACGTAGGTTACTCATAGACTAGGTGAAATTTTCCTCGCTTTTCCTCAAAAATCTGCTCGAATATGATGGAAATCGACGAAATTTTTACTATGTCTATGAGTATACTAATAGACTGAGTGAAATCTCTTTCGCTTTTCATCATATTTGAAAAGTTTTTCCTGGAAAATCGAGGAAAATTTTACTCAGTCTTTGAGTTACCTACACGCTATTTCAAAACTGCCCAAATTTGAGTAGAAGCTACCCAGATCGGTAAAACTGAACCTACCCAAAAAAACCGGGTAAACTATAATTGGAGTGACAAGTTGACAAATGAACAGCATCGATCGGATACAGGTCGATGTTGTCCATTTGTCAACTGGTCACTCCCAATTTAGTTTACCCGTTTTTGGGTAGGATCAGTTTTGAATCTGGGAGGATCCTACTCAAATTTGGGTTGTTTTTAAATAGTAACCTCATAATTAGCAAATCAAAGTTGGCGGCACTCGTGAAGAATAGATGAAATATGAGTGTGATGATGGTTTCCAAATTTTACACGGTGAGGCATACGAAAGCAATCTTAAAATGGTTGTATTTTGCAAATGAAGCATTTTATTTTAATCTGGTTATGCTACGTTAGTAGAAAACTTAAGGACTACTCCAAAGACATAAAATATAGAAAAAAATAATATCTTTTCAGATTTTTAGGCGTATACATAGATTTTAGCTTTTCTACCACTGTAGCAGCAACCAGAATTAAATAAAATGCTTTATTTGCAAATAAATGCATTTTAAGATTGAATTCGTATACCTCGCCGTGGAAAATTTCGAAACCATCATCACTTTCATAGTTCTTCTATTCTCCACGAGTGCCAACTTTGATTTGCCAATGGCTTTTTCCCTCTTTCACCGGCACTATATCACCGCTCTTTCAATATGTTTAGAATGCGTTAGGTCCCGTTTTCGTTACTTTTTTTTAGATAAATATGGGGCCCATGCATTAATTATGTCACGTTAAATCGATGAAAATTTTTACGCCCCCCGCCCCCTAATGCATTGTTTGTCATAAAAACTGAGACCCCCCTAGAGTGTAAGATAATATATGCATCAACCCATGTGGATGGAAGATAAATTAAACATATTGCGTCAAATGTCTTAACGTGAGCAATGCTTGAAAAGTATATTTTCATTTTCCTTCATATACGTCATCAAACCTCTGTTGATGTGTTTCATGCAATACGAGCCTATCAAAGCCGAGCGCACTTTCACTCGTCCGCTTCACCGAAGCTAGAAACAAAGACGAATGAAGCGACAGGAGAAAGAGAGATAAACGATTGAATTTGTTTGTAGACTCCGACTGAAGTGCTAGAATGCTGCGAAGCTGCTTGACTTTAACCAAAGACAACATATCAAGAAGACTGGCAACTTTGCCTGAATTCGAGCGACAGATACAGTAGCGCTGCGCTCGAGCGAAGGTGGAAGCAACGCCTAGAAAAATGAGCAACTACACAATCCTTTCTTCTGAGGATGGAACCTTTGCTATCCAATCCGTTCGGAGCATTTACCTTTGAGCGGCAGATGCCGCGATTGTGCCTGTCTCATACCGGTCGTTTGAGAAAATGGCAAAGTTGCCAGTCTTCTTGATGTGTAGTCTTCGCTTTAATCAGTTTCTCCGTCGCATCGATTTTATCGATTGAAGCTGATCTTGTGACGCCCTGGTATCAATGCTGTTCTTCATGCCTATTAGATGAGCTCTAATGCCATAACTGGCACAGCTTCCCTATGTCTTCTTCTTCTTCTTTGCATTACAAGCTTATTGCATATCGCATATTAGCTTATTGCGTGCTCTCAACTTAGTGTTCTAGATGCACTTCCACAGTTATTAATTGAGAGCTTTCGATGCCTGTACCATTTTTGCATTGGTATAATTGTGTGACAAGTCCAATCATACTTATATGCCCAGGGAAGTCGAGAAATTTTCCAAACCGAAAAATTCCTGGACCGGACCGGGAATTGAACCCAACCACCTCCAGCATGGTCTTGCTTTGTAGCTGCGCCTTTACCGACTGAGCTAAGGGAGGTCCCACTTTCCCTATGTGTTTAATATAAATACTAGTTTCTAACATACATCGATTAAGCTTAGAAGAGAAGCCAATGAATAATTTTGCCCACGGCTGAATGTCCCGATAGTAAAGACTACTAACTAATACAGAAATCTCTTGGAAGTTTTCCTGCATTCGCAAAAATACTCCCATGGAATTTTCGTTGGAATTCCGCTTTGAATTAAACATCGAGTTCTTTTGTAGTAGTCCCATAAATTTGTTGAACTGCTCCTTATATTATCCTTAGTATTCTTCTTTGAATGCTCTAAAAACATCACCGAAACAACATTGGAATACAGGAGTGCCCTTGAAACTCTTCTAGTATGCTTAAAAAATTCGTTGGAACTGTATTTGGAATTCAATTCCCTTGGGATTTTCTCCAGAGTTCCTTGAAAAATCTCTTCTGAATTTCATTAAAATTATCCTTAAAAAGCGACAACTTTGAGAAGGTGTAGCACTTTTGCCCACAATATTTTTTTGATTCCCATATAAAGTATTACTAAAACTAGGTATTTCCCCCGATGTTCGAGCCAAGTTGCTGCTTTGAATTCTCCTACCTTCTTTAGCATTCAACTCAAATTAATTTAAAGATTTTATTCCAAGATTACTTGGAATTGTAATCCCATTTATTTGTAATCCTCCGTAGCATTTCCCATAGAAATTATTTCGGATTCATTTTCGATACATCCAGAACTGTCATGGAACTCTCAGATACGCGTATTTCGTCTACTACTTGCAGACCTCATCACTGCCAAGTACTCAACACGAGTGCCAGTAGGTGTTGAGTACTTGGCAGTGATGAAAGCTGCAAGTAGTAGACGAAATACGCGTATCTGTCAAAGTATAAGTAATTATAACGGAATTGAAAGGAAATAAACCAACACACTCAAAGCACAACAAACAAGGAGTAGCAATTTCAAATTTGTATGTTTTGTGGAAGCTGACATTTGTGCCTTTAAAGTTTCACGCTAAGGCTTCCTTAGAGTATCACCTCTATGATTCCGTGAAGAGGTTCGACCAATTTAATGATTCTTCAGAATTGCCATGAAATTGTTTTAAGACTTCTCTAGGATTTTTTCCAGAAATTCTCAGAAATTAACCTCAGAAATTCATATGAATTTTCATTAAATTCAGCAAATTTCATAGAATCTTATTCAGTATTCCTTTGGTCTTCTCAAATCTACCATGGAACTCTCGTTAGGTTTCTGATGAAAGCTGGAGTTCCACAAAACTACCTTGAAAACAATCCTCAGATTTCACTTGTAGTTTTCTCGCAATTCTCCCGAAAACTCTCATCAGAATGTCGATGAAGCTATCCCAGGAGTTCGTTAGAAATTATCATTGAATTTTTTTATAAAAATCCATGAGCCTTGAAAACTTTGCATGTTTTTTTTTTAATCTATGATCTTGAAAAATGTTTGATGTTCGACGTCTGGAATATTTATCTTCATTCCGTATTCTTAAAAAAAATCTAGAAAGATGATTTTTTGAACTCCTTAATTTAAAAAAAAATGCAAAGGGTAGGTGTACCAGTTATGGCTGTAGGTTAATATTATGGTGCGTTCCAATTATGGCATATGGAAATC